CCAAGATTTCGTCCGTAGTAAAAGTGAACAAGACCGGGATGCTGAGCAACTCTGTCTCACGCCACTGATAATACCAAAGAAGGGCGCAAGTCCGCCGTGCACCAATACTCGGCCCAGGTTTGAGAGTACATGGCTTGAAGTAAGGTGACATAATTCTCGGGCACTTCCCTTCTCAGCAGACAATTTCAGAGAGCAGCTCAGTCGACTGAGTCAAACGCTGCTCGTATGTCTAAGAAGACGACGATCTTTGGCTGGTCAAAGTTTTGACGAAGGTCGAGTATTTTGCGGTGTTTAAAGGTGTGCTCGATGCGACTCCGACCTGAGCGGAACCCAGCTTGCGCTTCACGTATGCTCTTTTTGCGTACCAATCTGAGACAACCTAGAAGAAGAGTTGCGATCGCCTTGGAAACAACACAGATAAGACCAAGCCCTCTGTGGTTGGCGCAGTCAGTACGGGTACCCTTTTTGAAGACGAGCATGCTATCCGCCAGGCTCCAAGCAGACGGGATAATGTCAATGATCCAGATCTCTTGGAGGAGAAAGTTAACTCCTGAACAAGTGATGGGCCGCCATCTGAAAAGAACCGGAGGGAGTGCATCTGAGCCAAGGGTTTTGTAGCACTTTAAGAGGCGAAGCTAGTAGACAGCTGTAGACTCGGATGGTGTTGTAGAGTCTATACACCAGGGAGAGCTCTAAACTCCAAAATGGGAACACATTGGTGCTGCTGGCCAAGTAAACTACAGCTCGAAATCCTCGGCCCAACGCTTGCATCGGAGTTTTTACAATTCAACGGCTCGCCATTGGCTTCGCATAAAAATACGCTTACAGTCGGCCTTTTGCCCCCAGTAGATCGAATCAGGAGGAACAAGTTACGGAAATACCCGAAGTTGCCGCTTGCTCCATCTCAATGACCCGCTGCTTTCAATACGCCTCGCGAGCTTTCCGGAGAAGCTGTCTGAGCTCGGCTTTATTAGTCTTGCGTAATGAATAGTATTTAAAGCTAGCAGGAATTGCTCGACGGGCTTCGAGAAGTTGGAGGGATCATGCAGAGATCCAGTGGTTGACAGGACTGCTGGTGAAGCCACAGGCCAGGGTTGTAGAGTTGTACCTGTGTGTTTCAATGTCTGTGTATTGGACAGTCTTCAGTCTTGAGGCCAAGGCCTCCTAGAATGCGTAGAGAACGTTCGGGGCAGAAAGATTATCTACGTAAAACCCTTTCTGGCGACGCTGCTGGGACTCGGCGAAGCCTAGCGCAACCTCGGCACACACCAGCGCATAATCCGAAGTGAGACAGGTGCTCCAGATTGATTTGCAATCCTGTATGCTACCCAGCCAATGAGAGCTAATGGAGAGGTGGTTACTTTTTATCCACGATTGGCCAGGTGATGGGGGTCTTCAGGTGGAGCGTTGGCGCCAGTATCCCAGAAAGCTTGTGCTCGACAGAATGAGGCCGTGATCGGTGCACACCCGTGGTACTCGATCACATTTTTCTGTTCTGTGAGTGCTATGGCCGTACTGACCAACGACTTTACGTTCTTCTATTCCAAGCCTTCTGATCTGCGCGTTCAAGTCCTCAGCGAGCGCCGCGATGTCGGTTTCGCGCTTTTTTACGGAGAAGGTTGGCAAGTTGACCATGGAACTCATTGTTAACTGACTCCGGACTGCAAGCTGTTGGAGCTCACGCTGTGACAACGAATGGACACCGTGTGCTAGCTTCACGCCTGGAGAGTCGCATTAAAGTTTCAGGTCGGATCGCTCATAGTCGACTGCTGACCGGGATCCAGTCTAGTAGCGCGACCTCAGCAAGGGTGCTCAACACAATCCCTAGCGACTTCGGCCGTTGAGTCTCCGGATAGGCGCATAGTGAAAATGCCAATGGAATGCGCAGACGGTGAAACTAGTCGCAGTGTCGGGCTAGAGTCCTGTATGCGAGTCTCGGTGCGACAGCAGCCATAAATGTCCGTAGTTTATAGAATGCGAGCAAGGTCTGCCTGTGATCCAATCTGCATCAGCTTCCGAACATTGAAGGTTGCCAGCTTGTATTGGGAACGGAGCGCTAGAAATGGATTGTCAACACGACTCGGCACATGCTCGGACCTAGGTTCCAAGTCGGTATGACGTGAAAGTTCACAAAGGCGACACACTTTGTAAACTGAAAATCCGATAGGGAAGACCAAGAATGGGATTGAACAAAAGTAGAATAAAGTGCCTAGACCGTGGTGTAGTGAAACTCGGTTTGACAAGTTCTCCTGCCAGCAACTCGACCGATAAGAGTAGTTGGAGAAAGCGAGAGCAGATAGATCAAGAGCGGAGAGAGCAAGCGAAGAAGTGTTGAGATATGGATCCATAGGTTGTGTGGGCATGGAACTTCCCGGTTACCCAGACCGAGGAAGAGGGTCGACTTAGGGGAATTCAGCCGGAGCCTTGTGTCATAAAGACCTAACCCGCAAGGCAGCGGGGCGATGGACGTATACCGCGGCGTTTATAGCAGGCTAACTAGGAGAACGGCTTTAGAGTAAAGGCCAACTCGCTCAAAGAGCCCCAGTGAAGCAGCAAGGAGGCCAAGATTCCTTGGAGTACGAAACTCGCTGGAAAGCATGTAGGCCGTTAGCAGCCGGGTGGCTTATACACCTTCATAGCATCTGGTAGCCATCAAGGTTGTTCATCAGCCCACTGATAAGTACTCACCTCTTTGACCAGAAATGATTGGTCAGTCAACCCATAGGCGGTCAAGTCGGCTTTGACACAGCGTCTTGCTAGCACTTGTGGCATTTAATTTGGAATCAGGTGACTAGCCCAGAACCTCCCACGCTCTAGTACGCTGTCGCTGATCGTTCGCGACTACTTATTCATGTCGCCGGTGAACAGCCGAGACTTATTCACAGTTACCTTCCCAAGGAAGACGTTACCCGATCTGTAAACTTTGGACGCGCCCGGAGGCGGGCAGTTCTGCCGAATCAAACAGTAGTTAGTTCGCTGGTGGAATACAAAATATATAGGTAATTGTGAGAGCAGCACATTTTCAGCTTTTGCGATATCATTCACTTGTGACTTATCCTTGACTCATACGATAAACCTCCTTAAGTTTGACACTAAAGAGACTGGACAAAAGTGGTCAATACTCAAAGTTGGTCAACATACAGGGACCTGCATGCATAAGTAATGAAGAAAAATGCGTCAACTTAGGGAGGTAGTCAATATATGGAGGTTGGCAAATTTAGAGATTTAATTGTACGAATGCTTGTGTATGGAATCGGTGGGCCATTGCAGTGACCAACATGACTAAGTTGCAGGTTTGGGTACAATGCGACTCACTCCAAAGTGACATGACTGTAACTAACCTTTCTCCGTATTTTCCCGCTGCTGGCCATGTCGCCCGTCATCATCCTGTGTAACCCAAGGGGCTAGATAACAAACACTGAGGACAGATTCGCTAGCTTTTACCTAACATGGAACTGATGTACTGCTGAGTGTTGACAAATCCAGAAACAACGCCACAACAATCTATTGGTTTCCCCAGCTGCGACATTCTGATTCAGCTAAGTTGTGGTGAAGTGCATCTATCAGTACCAGCAAGCTTCCCAAACTGAGGCCTCTTAGAGCTCATTCAACGAGCATAATAGAAATAAAACTTGCAGTAGTCAAGCCTTAATATTTGTACTGAAATCAGCCTTCACTGACGCGACGAGTAAGACAAGTTGGTCGTTGCACGGATCCGACATTTCATCGTAGCAGAGCGTTCCGCATACATGTGCCAGATTGATCAATGTGTACATGAGGTCTCAATGCGCCACACTGAAGTAGTTATATAGTAACCAATACATCTGCTTTGTCACTTTTCCGACAAACTTCCCATTTCACAGGTGACCTTGACGATATTACCAGGGAGGTTTTTGGTACACCCGATGCTGGAGGTGAGTGTGCGCCTAGTCCCCTTTCACTAACGGCCAGTCACAGGCGACACAATACTGTGCCCCTTGAAAAACCTGGTTAATAGACACACCGATGAACACCTACAAGACTCCTGCTCCAGAGAATGCATCGAGGTTATCTTCGGTACAACCACCTATATGCACTGCACTAAACTGACCTAAAGTGAGGCTGTTTGATTAAACGGTCAAGATGCGCTGCAGTTCCCGATGCGTTAGTGAATTTACACACCGCTGTGAGGTCTTTATCAGTGTTTGAATGCACCAGAAAACCCACAGTCGTCAAGTGACACACAAGCTGCCGTTGTGTCATCGACATTTAGCTATTCTTCTCAAACTAACCATGCATTATCTTACTTATAGCGATGGGCAATCCATTACAAGTGTTCCTTGTTGCGATTATGGTCACGATCGGTACAATTACAAAGAGCTAGAAAAGTGCGGACACCTACCAACAAAAGTGTGTGGCATCCGCATGTTATGTTACATAATCCGTTTCAAGTGGGTTGGCTTTTCTAAACAAAACTGCATTCACCAAGTAATCGAGATTTCTTGATCGTAATGTATCTTAGTAAAAATCGGTGCATGTTAAGCAATGCAGCCCTACATAGGTAGCTGGACGTTAAGTTGCACTAGATACAAATTGACTGCCAACCAACAATTTGCCATCTACTCAATGAAACGCACTGGTGATCAGCAGGGACGACTCAAGCAGGTAAGACAAAAGACAGCAATGTATTAAAACCCAGCTGGGGGTATCGAGGCAGGGTGGATGAAGTTATCCTATCTCATTCCGATTAAGCACCTGTCGCATTTGTGCGGGTAAGAAAATCTAATCACGTTTTTACTAATACCTGGACAAAATTCGCTGCAACCCATAGACCTATTGCAAATAAACGCATCGTTGGTTGAAGTTGCTGTCCTATTTATATTCCACCAAATCACTGCCGAGTCACACAATCCATCGCAGGCGGACTTCGGCCAATAACCAATTTTGGTGACAAAGTAGATCCAATCGTCAATGTTGCAACCCAAGCGGTTCCAGTTAGCTTGTGTCATTTGAGTTGCATGATGTCTCACTCCATATCTACAAGCGAAATTCACATTTCACCTATCACTAATCCAACTCCAACCAAAGGTATGCCGCTACTCGCGTCAACGGGTCACCTAAGTCGACGTTGCCTCATTGATAAATGGCTCTTCTTTATTAACCATTCAATACTGAGGACAACGAATCGTTTGCAGGTGCCTCTGGACACGATATTACTCAGGACCGACCAAACGACAACGGTGCAAATGAGTGCAGCTACCCAGCAGTTTGCGCATTAAAGCAAATATCCTCACATATAGAGCTTGTGAGTCAGATATAGCACACCTATTTGGCTGCAGTATAACACCTAAAGTTTTAACTTGCGCCTCTTTAGCTGCTCACTACTTGTTAACGCACAACCCCCGGAATTCATACCCATTAGCCGAATCATGGTTGATGCACATCTAAGTCGTCTTCGTCTCGCCAAGAGCAGTTGAGTGTTTTTCATAGGTTACACATACCTCATGCATCTTTAGACGAATCAAAATCTTTTACAGGTCACCCTAACTATGGCGACAATGGAGGCCAGCCTGGTGAGTGCATACGCCCAGTAATTTGCCACTTCATACGAACAAAGATTCGTGTTCATCCACAAAATGTGCTTGTTCATCTATCGAATCATACGGACTTCACTTGAACATTTCACTCTTCAAACAACACATATTTGCTGGATTAAACTGATCTCCAGCGGTATTCTTATTATTAGGAGCGTGAATGATCTAATATTGTGGTGCACTCAGCCAAGGCAGACTGATTAGCAAGACAACTATTGTAATCTTGTCACTTCCGTGTGCCGGAACCCAGTGCTGTAACTGCAGGCTCTTAGGATCGGTCACAGAGAGCGGCAGTGACACCCAAATGAATATTGTGGTAGGGTGAATGCAAGTTGCCGATCCGAATCAGGTTAATTGTCTTTCCGATAGAACAATTTAACCACGTCTCTGTCAGCACCAAGACCAACTCTTCTTGGCAATCCACGTACAGCCTGCATATGAATAAGCCACTTTGTACTGTTGCTGGTTCATTTTTCCCCATCTCACCTATCGCATAGCCTTGCAAAGACCATCAAACTCTCTGAACATTTAAGCAGATCTCTTTCGTTTCAGTAGCACATTCGCCATTATGTATATAAATGGAGGCATGCGCCTCTATGCGCGCTCCTTAAATTAGTACTAGTTTTGCTTTATAACATCTGCCCAAATTTATTAGTTCGCACGTGCTGTTCAACCGCTATTTTCGGTCTCACACCTCCACACTTGTCTAGTGCTACAGTGCGCTTCGTTCATGCTAGACCGCACTAATTCTGTGTTCCCCGTCTGCTTCAGGCGATGATAAGCAGTTTCCTTGACGGTTCTTAATAAGTTTCCTGAACCCAAGTCCCTAGTCGCTTACTATTTCCCGAACTGTTCAGCCACAATCGCATAACCCAGCGCTTGCTGTCAGGCAACGCAGTACAGAGCGGATTCGAACCATACTCACGCTCATCGACTATCTGTCTACATCGCTAATTTTACTATCCAAGGAGATACCATGACAGCACACCTCATGATTTGCTTGATACCGGTCGCACATTTCCACTCAGAGTTGCGTCCTGTTCCAAAATCAAACTATCCAACTGCATGCCCGTGCTCAATCGCTGCACACACAGGTCATTTTGTTTAAGCAACAACCGTAAGATTTGATCCCAGATAGTAAACACTAAACATTCTTCCTATATTAGACATACCTCATGCTTTTTTAGCATGAGGAATACATTGCAGGTGTCCATGGCCATGGTGACAACCCCGACGTGTACAGTTACTAAGACCATCCTCATCCTCCTCCTCCTCCTCATCATCATCATCAACAGCAGCATCAGCAGCATCATTATCATCATCATCATCCATATCATCATCGTTTTCAGCATCATCGCCATCATACTTAACATCATCATAATCACCACCGTCATCATCATCATCATCATCCTCATAATCACCATCATCATCATCATCATCATCATCATCATCATCATCATCATCATCACCACCATCATTATCATCATCATTCTCATCATCCTCCTCCTCATCATCATCATCATTGTATCACGGATAGGCAGCCTAAGCTAAGTACGTCGTAAGAGAACTAAACTAACATTTACGAACAAATAAACCTAGACTTAACGCACGGTCTGGACAGAAGAATAAATCGAAGTATCTTGTAACCGTGGTTCTATAAGGCATAGTAAATACAGTACATTGCTTAGGAATAGGTTTTGCTATGGTAGTGCAAAGGGTAGCGTGCGAGTATTTGGACAGTGTCACAGTAACATAATAATTTAAATGACCTTGCAACGTCAAGTATATATCAGTGATCGAGTGCAAGTAATAAATATACCAGATGCTAACCTATCATGGGACACAGTAAAGCAATGTAGCATGAGCAGAATAATAAGGGAATAGAGATACTGTATCCTCATGTAAGCAATCCAGGTTGGGAAAACATCAAAATTCCTTCTGGACTTTCCAATCATCATCATCACCATCACCATTATCAGCAGCAGCAGCAGCATGAGCATCATCACTGTCGGGACACAAAAACGACTTCAAATTCGGCGTGATGCATTTTGTTCCATTTGAAAAGTCCTCGCTTGGCCACTCTTCCTCTCCATCCATCCACAAGCCGGTGCGTAAACGACGCACGACTCGGGAGTTGGTGATCTGTCATAAGCAATATGTAGCCCAGCCATCGGAGTCTGGTGCGTGATATAATTGGCACCGAGCGGTTCACTTGCTCTTCCAGCCTCATTTACAGGACGCCGAACATGATCATTGCTCATGCGCTGCTACTACCAGCCATGAGCGAAGCTACGAAGGCAGCGATGATTGCAGGTGACTAAACTCTTTAAGTCAGCCGAATTGATGAGCGAGTTTTCGCAACCATATCGCATGGTTGAACGGACGGCTGCATTGTCAACTCTTCCATTCAGAGCTACGCTGATGTCGCGCTAGTGCTAAAACTGGCGGTGATTGGCAACAGCACCTCCAGCTTTTGCTATGCGGTTTGTGCTCTCATTTTCCAATCCATTGGCGCTAATTTACTGCGTAGATAAGTAAACAATGAACAAGGAATTTATACGGGTTAAGAAGCGTTGTCTTACAATTCCCGTTGGATAGTTGGTGGAGATATCGACACAATAATAATGATGGTAAGGATAGTTAATAGTTAATAATTTAAATGTGAAAATAAAGACCTATCGTTTGCTCCGCTGTAGTCCTGCGATCCGCTTAGATTCAAGGCACCCACAGTCAACATCGAATAATTCCATGGTAAATTCAAGGTGTAGGATGGAGACCCAGTTTTAAGTAACAAACTGTAGGTGGATGAGTGCATCATCCAACCGTCGTCTAAATACCGTTATTGTCGGTGCAGACGACCGATGCTGGGAGACCATTCCACGGGTGACCAACACGAATGGAAACGAAATTTCTGCGGCACTCCAGACGACTGTATTTTTCTGCGAGTTTTAATGAGTGGCCCCTCAGGTTTGCATTGCTGCTGGGTTGGTGTAAACGGCGGCACACATGATGTGGGTCTCGCAGAATCACGTATGCCATAATCAGGTCGCCCCGTAGTCTGCGATCGCTTCTACTGGATACCCCCAATCGTTGCAGCCTCTCCTGTTAGGAAAGATTGCGCATTCATATTACGTTCTTAGATGCGCGAAGTTGTGGCTGCTCCAGTGTATAAAGGTCATGTCTCAGCCATGGATGCCAGACTTGAATTGCATACTCGACATGGGGGCGAACATACGCACTGAGCATTTGTCGAAATATGGAGCTGTTTATTTGTCCAAACGCCCGAGTCAGCAGCCCGTCGTGTTGGTTCCCAAACTTCGAGGCCTTTTCGGATTGCCTGGAGCAACCTGTCATCTTGAACCAAGACACGCAAGTCACCTTCGAGAGTTGATTGTTGTAGCATATTCGTTCCGAGTCGGTATGAGTAGCTGCTTTGATATCGGATGGAAAGCACCTTGCATTTACTGACGTTGAAATGCAATAAGTTTTGGGTCGACCTTTGATAAACCATATCTAGGTCACTCTGAAGCACATATTGGTCGGTGTTCGCCTGGATCCTGCGCCAGATCTTGATATCGTCAGCAAACATTAGAAAGTTTGAAGCGATTCCCTGTGCAAGGTCATTAATAAACACCAAAAACAAACGTGGACCTAGAACCGAGCCTTGCGGCACACCACACTCCACTAGTATTGGGTCAGAAAAAGAGCTCCGAACGCTGACCATTAATTGCCGTTGAAATAGAAAGTTGGTGATCCAACTTAAAAGAGGGTCTCCGATCTCATAATACTGCAGCTTGGATAGTAGTATCCGATGGTCTAGACGATCAAAAGCATAGGAAAAATCCAGGTAGAGCACGTTAACACCTTCTCCAGCATCGGCTGCCTCGGTCCAACTACTACGTGCAATTAGCAAATTAGTTGTACATGACCGCTGTCGACGTAAACCGTGCTGTTCAGGAGTGATGAGGTTGCAGTTTTCCAGATAGCACACCAGTGCATCGGCAACTATGGATTTCATGACCTTGGAGAGTATAAGAAAAAGGGATATTGGGCAGTAGTTGATGGGATCAATTCTGCTTCCACCTTTATGATTCGGGGTTAGTATTCCAAGCTTCCACATGGCGGGAACTTGGTTCTGATCTAAGCAGCGCTGGAAAAACTGAGCTAAATGTCCTGCCAGTTGGCTTACTGCTGCTTCCAATGCCTCTGGACGAATGGTGTCGACACTTGGCGAGCTGTGTTTGCGTAGAGACGTCAGCTTTTGAACTACAGCCTCTGCGGTAAAAGTGATGTGGGTTGGTCCTGATGAGCAGAATACAAAGCTTGGTAGATCGCTTGGTGGCAAGACCCTTTGAAGCGTGGGGGGTATTGCATCTGCAGCGCGTTTGCAGCTTCCCTACATGTTCTTGTTGGGCCATCAGCCGTCTTGAGTGGAGGAAATCCTTGCCTCACCTTTCGTAGGCTATTAACGTGCTTGTACAGCAGTTTGTGGTTAGCACTGAAGGTTTTTGCGATGTTCCGCTGATAGGTGGCTTTGTCTTCTCTTAACAGTTGAGTGCAGTGGTTACGTTGGGCTACGTAGTTGTCCCAAGTTTCTGATGCTGGAGCTTCTCTGTACATTCGCCATGCTGCCTTTCGTACTGTCATCCATTTTCGGGTTCTGCTCCTAACGAAAGAAACTGATTTGCACTTATTGCAAGCTTTTATCTCTGAAGCCTATGCAATCAGCTGACTGAATTTGTTGACGAACTCGAGCCAGGCGACTTCCGGGGGTTTTTCTTCGAGGAAAGAACATGTTGGGGCGCTGCCTAGCTGGGCGAGTCGGTAGAAGCTTGTGATGGTTCGCACAGTCGCATCGTTCTCATTCAGATATTCTGCTTGACAGACGAAGTTGAAAATGATGACTGCGTGATCACTGCGACCCAGCGGGCATTCTAAAACCAACGCATCCATCATATGATCCTCGGTGGTAAGCACAA